TGTAGTTGGTAGGGGGGGGGGTGGCTAGTAGTAGTAGTAGTAGTAGTAGTAGTAGTAGTAGTAGTAGTAGTAGTAGTGTAGTAGTAGTAGTAGTATAGTAGTAATAATAATAAGAATAATATATAATCCTCGGGCCTGCTTCGACTTCGCCACGGGGCTTGGCTTCTTCTCTGTCTTGACCGGTCGAGCCGGTGTAGGCAGTGGGCGCTCTCTCTTCATTAACTTTGCTGGGGGTTCGGAGGGCTCGGGTTCTGTTGGAGTCTTCGAGGCATCGGCCTTTGACAAGGCACTCTCTCTGAGGGCTTTTGCACGTGCCATAGCCTGGGCCACTGTATCAGAGGCAGCACTTGCCATGACGGAGGCAAGGGCTGCTGCCTTATAGCAAAGCTAGATCTAGCACGATTTCTACTGTGTAGTGTCACATGAACATACAATCTCAAAGTAGGAGTTCCTTCATATATGAGCCAAGCAACAGTGCAAACAAAGCATTCAGGCAGGCACTATTTATAGCCCACTGAGCACTCACGGTTTGCTCACGCTTCGCTCACGCTCTGGTCACGGTTATATGGGGAGGTTACACTCAGCTTTATATTGTCCTTATATAAGCACTCACGCCAACTCACGCTCCAGTCACGCTCTGCTCACGCTTTGCTCACGCTCTCTTTCCTGTCCATATGGGCACCCAGTCACGCCTGCAACAACTGAATTTGCTCCAGAACGAACAAGCCAACAGGCCTAACGCCTGCTCAGGTCCTGTTTGAACCTCTGAATTAAAATCTAATTAAGTCCCAGACTTGTGACAGCGGTGCCCTCACAACTGAAAAAGTGGGGTGAAGCGTCCCTGTTTCTGTTCTTCTCTCAGGAAGCCAAGGACTTCGGCAAGGTCGGCATGGACCCAATCGAGTGGCTTTGGGACCTGGCAGGGTATATATATTATTCCCTTATTAGCCCTATACAATACCTAGACTCATCGGCCCCAAAACTCCCAGATCAAGGACCCATACGCCTACACCCCACCACAGCACCTCCAAGCCGTCGATCACCCAAACACCCCGGCCCCTAGATCCCAGGCCTGAGGACCCTTATTATAACCCCTGCCCTAGACCCCCACAACACCCCAAAGTAATCGATCCCTCAAAATCACCCACGTGGGTGATTTTGAGGGATCGATTACTTTGGGGTGTTATAGCATCCCCTATAAAGCCCCAGACCCACAACACCCGGCCCCTAAACCCCATATATATGGCTTTTAGGGCCTTTCAGGGCTTAGGGCAAGGGTTTTCGGTAGGTTTAGGGTTTCGGGGTTATATTAGGGTTTAGGCTTCTCTGGGTACAAGTCGACTATAAACACCCTAGCTGAGCATCCGTTAAATAACCCTATAACCTATATATAGCCAATTCCCACCTTTGGGCCGGCAGCGAGAATATCTCGACCATCCCGAAGCCACTGCTCAATCCGATGTCCAGCTTTGTCCTTGCATGTTCCCACAATATGAATAGACTTGATGCTTTGGGCATTCAGTGCGATCTAGTCTCAACGAATTGCATGTGAAGCTTCATGACCTTCTTGCAAAACTTCCGTGGGTACTCCGCGGTTCGCTTGAGCTTGGGGCCACCAGTCCTTGCGAGATATTTTATTATAATAATGCCTGGTTGAGTATATACGGATCAGTTATCCTGAGTCCCCTGCACCACTGTTTTGCCGTACTTGTTCTTCCGTCTGTAAGAGACACCAGCCGAAGTCAAGCCCAATCTCAGCCGACGCTTGTGCGTGAGCTTCTTGAACAGCTTGGAGACCCCACCCCTGAGCAGCATAGTCATGATCATGGTATATGATGCCAATCCAAGGAGCAAAGCATGCAGATTCTGCCCTATAGTGCCGAGGGACAAAGTTCCAAAAGCCAAGGAGCCCTTCGGGCTGAAATGGCCCCAGGAACCAAGCCAGCTTAGCATTCTCATTCTGCGACTACAAATAATATAGGTTGGAAAGCGAAACGAAGAGAGAGAGAGAGAGAGAGAGAAAACGAGAGAGAGAGAGAGAGAGAGAGAGCAGGAGTTGCGAGGTTGCACGATCCTGGGGCCAAGACAAGAATGTACGATGGATCGGCATGAAAGTTTTCAGAGTCTGGAAGACATGTAGCATATATGGAGACCACTCCAGAAGTGACGAAGCCGGCTGCTCCACCAGGAAGTAATTCTGGCGGACGGTCAGAAGTAGGAGGATGAGGCAAATTCTTGCACAGATCCTCAGCAGCAGACTTGGAAGATCGAAGATATATAGTAGCCGAGAGCGAGCGAGAGAGAGAGAGAGAGAGGGAGAGATTATAACATGCAGACAGACACGGCATAGAGCCAATCTTTCAAGCAGCTTGTTCGCAGTGCGAACGTACTCCAGCTGTTCATTCCCCAGTGGGTGATCCCTGCTGCGACCAGAAGTTGCTGCATTCATAAATACGTAGCTGTTGCAGGGAATGCCGACGGTGGCCAATCCCACTTTGGCTTTCAACTTCAACACCGTGCGAATCGCCGAGAGAAACCCCGACCTCATGGGTCATGATCAGACACCATATACTATATCATACAGTGGAAGATTTATGAATATATTCCAAGTGCCTCTCTTAGGGCAATTATCCACATTCTATATGATCCTGGCTATAGGCCAGTATAGTCACTTTGTGGTGACGCGGGTGGGCTCCACGGTTTGGGGTTTGGGGGCTAATTTTTATGGGGTTTATAGGGTTTATTACAATTATATATTATAAACTATATAGGGTTATTACTCTTGCACAGCAGGGTTGTTTAAATTAGGAGTTGCCCATTTATATAGGTATATACATATGTATTTCCCGGAAGCTTCCAAATCCAAGGCAAGCAGCGTGGTGCAGATGTCGTCACCTGGCCGGGCCGCCGAATCCATATAGTCCCTCAGTTGCAATATGAAGCTCAACATGCGATGATGGCCGTACACATCGGAAATTTTGTGTTCGATGCAATCGAGTGACGAGCGGAGCCCTGACAGACCTGAAGCACATAAATGGCACACATGTACATGTAATATTTATATCTCACACAGCTGTGCCTGAGCTTCCTGCAGTACTGGCGTTGCATGTTTCTTGTTCCACTGAACATGTCGTAGTGAACCAAGTCCTTGTTATATTCGCAAGGCCATATATACACGAGATGACTGCACAATGCTATAGACCGTCTCGGGAGTTGAGTGCCAAGCCCTGCAAGACATGTCGGGGGGGGCTGTTCTGCACGATGTAATCACAGCAATGAATCCTGCAGTCGCACCGAAAATAAACAACATGGCACCAGCAGCGAGCAATCTAAAAGTTGAGTGGCTGACAGCACACTATGACAGCCCATCATAGTCAAGGTGGCGATTGATGCTGCCGACAGGGAAAGCGGTGACATCTTCATGGCATCCATGGCTGCAAACTTATTGATAACACTAACATAATATACATACACACGTATACAGTTGCAACATAATGCGGGACTTCAACATGTGAATGTAACATGGTATATAATATAGGATCTAAATTCTATTATATTATAAAGACTCTTCTAGACTAGCTATAATCTCGCCTCTGCTACCCCTGTTGCAAATATAGGCGTCGTCATCCGCGCTCATGAGCACATGTGCAGGCTAAGCATGATCATGATCACCACAATCCTGCGATTACTCGTATCAGTTCCCTTTTTTCTGAGCAGCATGTACAGTGCTGCCACATCCAAGTCACATATATGATTCGAAGCTGTTGTAGGATCATGCCCACGTAGCCATCGTCCATCCGGCAATCTTCTTTGCAATCAAGTACCTTGGCTCGCTAGTCGAGATAATTCCAACATAGTGTATTTCAATTTGAGCAAGGAGCTGTCGCTGAAGCGACTTTTGGTCGCCCTTCGTCCAGGTCAGTGAAACTCCATGTTGCTTGTTTGCCTTTGTCGTTGCACAGCAGCACACAACAGCAACATGAACCATTTAAGCACCGGCTCACCCCGATTGTACCTCGTAGCTCACTTTGTGGAATTTGTTGACTGCAGCGAGGGTCTTTGGGTCGACACCGTTGACGAGGAAGCTTCCAGACAGCCTGAGCTGTTCTAAAATTATAAACTTCCACAGGATTCAAGCAGCATGCGGACAGCAGCTATAATAGTGCAGGCAGGGAGCAACACGTTGATGGTGGCCTTGGGACTGTACATCTCCTGGACCTTGGCGGACGGCTTCAAAGTGTAGCTCCTTGGCAAGTCAGAGTATATATCTTTTTCAATCCACACACTCACATGCATGCACGTATAGTTAATAATTGGGTTATTCAGAAGTCTAGGGGCGTGCCGTCACCCAGTTGCTCCGGGCTTGGTACCACAATCGAGCGGTCGAGTTTGGCCAGTAGTCGGAGATCGTCAAGAATTCTCTCCTTTTTTTCCTTCGGTTCAAGTCGGCTGGGGTCTATGTACAATGGAGGTTTTTTGACTTCGAATCAGCCATTGCACTGCATACAGGGGTTTATAGGGTCTGGGGTTCAGGGGTTAAGGGTTGAGGGTTTAGCTAGGGGTTTAGGGTTATTTATGGATGAATCATGATCTGTACGATCACTGTCCTCCACCTTCAGGCGACTCTTTGGCACGTCGTCCTTGCTTGCATACCTTTGCTTCTTTCCCTTCTTCGAAGCCAGCACTGGTGTCCATCCAGAAGGGACACGGTCAGTGCTTCCACGCACCTGTAATAACGAGCAGCTACACATGCACAGACACCACAAAATGCTATGACATGTGATTGTGACACAAACTTGCCTGGTCCAGCAACTTGCCTATTGGCTCTCGGTCTTTCAAAAGCTTTCTTTTGCGGCGTGGCTTGGTCTCGGCTTCTTCGTGGCTCCCCTTGGCTTCTTCGTGGCTCCCCTTGGCTTCTTCGTGGCTCCCCTCGGCTTCTTCGTGGCTCCCCTCGGCTTCTTTGTGGCTCCCCTCGGCTTCTTCGTGGGTCTCCTGGGTTTGGGCTCGTCGTCTTGACTTTCGAGCCTCAATCAGAATACTGCGGGCACGGGATCTGCTTTTCGGGGACAACCCCGAGAAGCTTGGTGTTGGGGATGCTGCTGGCTCCTTGTCGTCATCATCATCTTCATGGTTGTCCTGCACCAAGGGGATGAGCGATTTAGCCAGGGGTTCAGGGCTAGGGCTAGGTTTAAGGGTTTATTCCGGGTTGCACTCATATAGTGTTTTCAATCCTGCACCTCTGCATCCGAGAAGTCAAGCTTTCTCTTGCAGTCGGGGCTTGCCGCAGGCACTGGCGCTTTCCTGGACAGGTTGATTACGTAAAGAGTACACATATATATATATATATATGCATACTCCAACCTCTTCTTCTTCTTCCTGCTGCTTGCTTGTCTGATATCCTCCTTTATCTGCCGCTCCTCTTCTTCCAATGCCACAGCTTCGGGGTCTTTTTCTTCTCCATCTTCCTCCTCTGCCGGCTCCGTATCCGGCTTAGCCTTTGCTTTTGCTTTTCCTTTTGCTTTCCCCTTTGCCTTCGCCTTCGCCTTCGCCTTTGGCCCTGACTTTGCCTTAGGCTTGCTCTGCAGCCAAGCTTCTTCCCTGATTCCCTCACGAAGCTTCGACTGTGCCTGTCCAACATGATCCCAAAATGCAACCTATGCCTGGGCCTCTCTATTTGTAGCTCTCCCCTGTTATCTGTCCCGTTATCTTGGTTGCCTCATTCGATTTAGTCTCTCTCTCTCTCTCTCTCTCTCTCTCTCTCTCTCTCTCTCTCACACACACACTCACACATACCCACACTCGCTCTCTCTCTCTCTCTCTCTCTCTCTCTCTCTCTCTCTCGCTATCTCTCCCTCTCTCCTTCTGTGTCCCTCTCTCGCACTCTGCTGGGCCTTGAAGACGTCAGGGTCGTCACCTTGCTTGCCCAGAGCCTGGCACATTTCCTCCACTTGCTTTTCCAGGAGCTCTGGGACTGCCGGCAATTCCTTGAACAACGGCTTCTTTGGCTGGTCATCCTGGCCGAAAGCATAAGCCCTAAAGCCCTAAACCCCTAAACCCACATATCCCTAATCCCTAAAACCCTAAACACCTAAACCCTACACCCCGAAACCCTAAAACCCCTGAACCCCTATAAAGCTCCTAGCCTAAACCCTATATAATATATATATATATATATATATATATATATAAGGTCAAATATTGGGTTTGGGGGTTTCCGAAATTAAAGTATGCACATGACCATGACTGCATAGATAGGCATGCATAAGCAGTTAAAAGATCCCATTTTCCTCAGCACGGCTTGGGCTTTGGGGTTCAGAGGGTTTCGAAACGACCAGGCTTCTTGCCACAATGATCTAGAGTTCTTTAGGCAGTTTTAAGCAAGAATTAGGGCTATCAAGGCTCAGTCCTGTCCCGCCGTTGGGGCCTCGCACTTCTTGGGTCTCGGCAGTGGCTTTTTCGGCTTCGGCTCCTCCTTCTCAAGCACAGTAGCTGAGGGGAGCTCCTCTGCCTCCTCCGCACTTTCGGTGGGCCTGGGGATGTCTGACTCTCCCAGAAACATATCCTCTTTCAAAGGCTCCTGGGGCTGGTGATCCTGTTCCTTCTTCTTTGTGCTGGGCCTGGGCCTTGCTGCGGCGGCCTCCTGTCTGCTTGGTGTGCCGCCAGTTGATGAAAGAGCCTGCAAGAATTAATATTCACCCCCGCAGACGGCACAACAGAGAGGAGCCAGAGATAAGGGAGAGGACTCTTTCGAAAGAGACAAAGAGAGAGAGAGAGAGAGAGAGAGAGAGAGAGAGCACGTATATAGAAGCAGACAACATCTAGCATAAGACAGTGCGGGTTCCGCCTCCACACTCGTGAGGCTCTGACTTCGCGTAGGCCGGATGTGGACAGCCTTGCAAGCAACTATCCCAAAACCACTTAATTAGCTTATAAACCTCCATGGCCAGGCCTTGCGCAGAACAGGTTTCGTCCATGGCTCCTTCCAAGCCAAAACCCTGTACTGTTGAAAAAATAACTTAGCCGAGGCATATTATGCTGTCCTCCGCCAGTTGCAGCGGTGGCTTGCTTGCAGCATCCTCCTGGGCATGGCTCGAAAATTACAGTGGCTTCACAAATGGTATATATAGCTTTCGAAATCCTAACATATGCTAGAGTGGATTGTGCATTACATATGACCACGATCGATCTTGAGAAGAACTTGGCAGTATCATCGTTTGTGGCGAATTCCTCCTCTTCCTTTTCTTCCTTCTCGTCCTTCCCTTCATTCCCATCCTTCTCTAGCTTTGCCATCGCCTGATCACAAGTTTGAGAACCATCCGATGTACTGCTTTAAGGTGGGCCTGGCCTTCGCTGCTGTCACGATCTCTTTCAAGTTTGCCATGTTCACGTGGCCCGACCTGCGTGGAATTAGCAGTGGGATGAGGCTCATTAGGTTATCGGGATTGGTCGTGATTTTCTGGCCTCGACCCTTTGTTGCTTCGGGTACGGCGCTGAACATAAGCTGCTAAAGCACGGTGGAGGTTGCCTTCGGTGGCAGCCCAGGCCTAGGTCCCAAGAGCAGCGAACTCCAAATTCGTGACACTAGATTGCCAACCAGCCTCCAGCTCTCGAGGCCCGAGGTTCTTGGAGACAACTCCAAAGGCTTTCCCCAAGGCAGCAAGGGCAGTCTGCAAGCTTTGGAATCAATCGGATGCATCAGTTCACAAGTCGGATCAGTTGACCCTGTCCAGCCTGAGCCTCTTTGGCCGTCGGGAGCGAAGCACCGAACAAAGCCAAATACCCCACGAGGAATTTGTAGTTGCATCTCTGTTCGACCTGAGATAGGGATGCACTTGAAATTAGACTCAGAATGCTGTGCTCCTGATCGGCCTCCGTCTCATTCACTGTATCGCCACTCAACGTGACGAAAGAGAAGTTGATGGGAACCTACAAGCGCAAGAGCCCAGACTCAAGATTCCTCGGCCATGACCTGGCACCGCACCTTCGAGCGCTTGAGGCATCGCTCGAGCTTTCGAGGCCCGATACCCGACGACTGGGCAATCTCCCGCATGCGAGCATCAACATAATCTCGATCACGTAGCCAGGAGGTATAAAACTCCTGCGAACTGGTTAATCTACGTTAACTGACTTAGAACTGCAGCATCATATATCTATACATACACTCCCTGGCCTGCAAAACCAAAACTGTCTCCGGGCACGGCTTCGAAGACGGCATGGCCCAGCTGATATCGTTCGATATCACAGCTAAGGATGCCCCGGATCATAAACCCCAGGACTCAAAACCCCCAACAGGTGGCCGCACCCTCTGATAGCATGGCCCTAGGCCCTCGATATAAGGAGGCCTCCAAATAACACTGATTATTGCAAACTATCCAAGCAACATACATGAAAGCGGATCCAAGGTTTCGCGGCCTGCACTGGCTACGAGCACGGCAGCAACAAAAAGCGTGACTCAAGTTGTGCTCAATTGAAGCATTCGGAACCCCACGCCTGAAAGTGCTATTAGACACCGTAGGCTCAGGGCTCAGGGGATTTTGTAGGGTTTACTGCCCCACATAAACATGCAGGGCCCGACTGGAAGTCGACCATTCGTCGCAAATTTCCGTAGCCTGTTTCTGTCCTCGGACCAGTCATGGAATCAATAATTTAAGCTTGATGAGTTTGTATATAGCAGTGATTTAGCCGAGGCTCGAAGGTCCAAAGCTTTGCGCATTTGTCACTTGCAACGGTCCTAGGATCTGGGATCAGCACCGGCTAGCAGTCGAAACTAATTGTGCCGAGGCACTCTAAATCACCAATATAGAATCATCATCATCGATCCTTGACCGCCGCTTCCTTGGACATGAGGGCAACCCTCGTTGATGATGAGGAAGTCACTTCAAATCACTGCTAGTTTAACCGAGGCTCTGTGATCGTATCCTCACCCCATCGGCACCGAGAGCCATTCATGAATCGTCATCATGGTTCCAGTAACAAATCTATTAGTTAGGGATTGGGGTCTTCAGGTTAAGAGGGCCTTTGGGGTGCTAGGTCCCTCTGTGTCGGATGTTGTAGTCCCATCTTCTCCAACCTTGGAAATCCCAGAACGTGCCCTGGAATCCCTGCCGGCTGCTTTAATAAGTTTGCAAAAGATGTCTAGGACGACCATGTATTTAGTAGCTTCTGAATTTCTAAGTTAATTACTATTGTAATTAAGTCTCCAGATTCCCTTGGAAATATCAACGTGCAAGCTCCCGGGATGGTGCTATTTCAAGAAGCAAATAACCAGACACAGCTGCTGAAGCACCAGATAGAACATGCAATACAGCCCTTCAAGACATGATGATTGACCTAATATTTATTAGCAAGTGGCAAAACTTTCAACAGCGTTCCAACTCAGCCACACCACGACTAGCCTACTTATGGATCCGAATGAACAACCCGAGAACTGTACGAAAATCAACATATATCCTAGATGAAAACATTCAAGGTCCTATCTTTTTTTCCTACCGCACTCCTATAAGCAGAAGTTGGTCAACAGTCAACAATGGTAAAACGAGCACGTTGCGACACTCACGAAACAAGCGGGTAAAACGGGACGGTTGACGTACAGGGAAAGGCTCTATGTACCCATATAGTAG